TTGAAGCGAATAAAACAACGGATAAGAGAGGAAAGGGAATGACTAAGTAAAGACAGGAGCTCTTCAATAGGTGCCCTCCCTCCTCTTCAGGAAATCTCTTTTCCCGTATTTTGCTTTTTGAAGCGAAGAAAACAACAGATAAGAAGAGAGGAAAGGGAATGACTAAGTAAAGAGAGGAGCTCTTCAATTTCCCACCCTATATCTGATGTTACGTTTCCTTCTTGGGCGGTGCCCTTCTTTCTCCCTTGAAGATGCAGAAAACGATCAGGAAGGACACCCGTTCCATCGCCCATATATAGACAGAGATAAATCATGAGCATCAGCTGGGTTTGCTGCCGATCCAAAATGGGCGTCCCTTTAAATCGCTTTCTGTGTCTTGAAACAAGCAAAAGGGGCACCCTTACTAAGTGTTTTCTTGTGGTGTCACTTTTCTTCGCTTGAAGATGCAGAAAACGATCCAAAAAGGACACCCGTTCCATCGCCCATGTGTGGGGAGAGAGATAAATCATGAGCATCAGCTGGGTTTGCTGCCAATCCAAAATGGGCGCCCCTTTTAATCGCTTGCTGTGTCTTCAAACGAGCAAAAGGGACACCCTAAGTGTTTTCTTGTGGTGCCCTTTTCTTCGCTTGAAGATGCAGAACACGATCTTAAAGGACACCTGTTCCATCGCCCATATATAGGGAGAGAGAGAGAGAGAGAGAAATCATGAGCATCAGCTGGGTTGGCTGCCAATCCAAAACGGGCGTCCCTTTTAATCGCTTTCGGTGTCTTCAAACGAGCAAAAGGGACACCCTAAGTGCTTTCTTGTGGGGTGTCCCTTTTCCTCGCTTGAAGATGCAGAAAACGATCAACAAGGACACCCATTCCATCGCCCATATATATATATATAGAGAGAGAGAGAGAGAAACAAAATCATGAGCATCAGCTGGGTTGGCTGCCAATCCAAAATGGACGTCCCTTTTAATCGCTTTCTGTGTCTTCAAACGAACAAAAGAAAACACTTAGGTTCCTCACTTGAAGATGCAGGAAACGGCCCAACAAGGACACCCGTTCCATCGCCCATATATGGAGAGAGAGAGAGAGGGAGAAGGAAAAAAATCATGAGCATCAGCTGGGTTTGCTTACATGTTCATTGTTATTCCTTTTGTTTTTTCTAACGGAAATGAACAAGAGAAGAGAAAAATAAGAACCAGAGGAAAGATGAAAACGAGCACCATCTTCTCTTTGCCTGATTTTTGCATTTCGCCGTCCTCATTTCTCTTCCATTCTTTTCATTGCTCTTCCATTTAGAGTTGCATTCCTGTTGATCTCTCCTCTCTCCTTTCTCTCTCCCTTCTCTTCTCTTGTTCTCCTTTAAATCTCAAAAACACACAGTGAGGAAGACAAGCTTCGAGGCGCTGGAGCCGTGCCGTTTTCAGGCATCGGCTTGGTCAACGAGTTGCTATTTGTTGTCCGCAAAGTTAGTGTCTTAAGATTGTTCACCGATTGTTGTATGATGGTCACTGATTATCCGAGAAGTTTTCGCGGGTCTTTTGCAATGGGTGCTGTCGTTGCTTTTTTTTGTTGGCTCCTTCTCGGCGGGGCAGTGGCTTCTGCGGTCATGGGAGTGTCCGTGGCGGAGGTGGACTGTAGCGGGTTGTGCGGCTGCATGATTCCAATGCTTGCGGTAAAGGCATGTGTCTCAAGGTGATTTTCTGCGGGAGTGTTTTCTGCACGAGACGGTTCAGGGCACTGCAGGACTCGCGTCCACTTCAGTTTGTGAAGAAGAGTACGAAGTTCGACAGATTGTCGAACCGACATCTGTACGCGTTGAATGATAATGTAGATGTCTTGAAAGAGTTAGGGCATCTTCATGAGAAGAAGCCTCTTTCAGTAGCAGTGATCTTTGCCGACGCACACCAAGCAACAATTGTGCACGACAGCTGGCGAGACTTGGCGTCGGCCGCAGCAGTTTCCCGAGTCAGGAAGACAAGCTACGAGGCGCCGCAGCCGTGCCGTCTTCAGGCATCGGCTTGGTCGACCAGTTGCTATTGGTTGCCCGCAAAAATAGTGTCTTAAGATTGTTCACCGATTGTTGTATGATGGTCACTGATTACGCGAGACGTTTTCGCAGGTCTTTTGCAATGGGTGCCGTCGTTGCTTTTTTTTGGTCGGCTCCTTATCGGCGGGGCAGTGGCTTCTGCGGTCATGGGTGCGTCCGTGGCGGAGGTGGACTGTAGCGGATTGCGCGGTTGTATGATTCCAATGCTTGCGGTAAAGGCAGTGATTTTCTGCGGGGGTGTTTTCTGCACGAGACGGTTCAGGGGTCTGCAGTACTCGCGTCCACTTCAGTTTGTGAAGAAGAGTACGAAGTTTTACAGGTTGTCGAACCGACGTCTGTACGCGTTGAATGATAATGTAGATGTCTTGAAAGAGTTAGGGCATCTTCATGAGAAGATGCCTCTTTCAGTAGCAGTGATCTTTGCCGATCCACACCAAGCAACAATTGGGCACGACAGCTGACAGGACACTTCAATGTGCGCACAACGGTGCGCAGCCCGACCCGAGAGACCGCTTGGATCATCCCCCACGCAAGAGCAGAAGTGATAGCTAGTATTCGTTGCCAACATCTGACTGCGTCTGTACGTTCACATCAAAAAAGAGTAAATTATAAATCGTAAACCCTAAACCCTAAGAGAACGAAATTGGTGAATTTGTGCTTCAGGTTTCTTGGATTTAGTTTGTTTATAGGTTTTTAAATACAAAACAAGAGAGAACGTCAAATAATACATAAAGGTCCATGCCACATATATATATATATACTTCCCAGTTAAGGGCCCATATCAAGGAACCGTGCAACCACCCTCAGACTTTGGGTTCATGTTTGGGAGTTCAAGGGTTGACCTGGGTGTATGATTTAGTTCTCCATGGTCCTGTAGTATGCCCCAAGCCCTAAACCCTAAAACACGGGGAAGTGCTCCATTCCCCTTTTGTTGGGTTGGGTTCCATGTTCCTCAAATATAAATACAAATACAAACACAAATAAACAAAACACACATGAGCCCTAATCACCCCAGCACGCACATGTGCGACCCGAGAGTTCATGACCCAAAGCCCTGCTCTAAGCAAGGCACAGCCGAGCTACCCAGACACCGGAAGGAGGCAGCTCCCCTGCGACGTTTCTGAGGATTTTTGAGGATACCTCGGACCCTAAACCCTAAACCCTAAACCAGGTTCAGTTGCAGAGAGAGCCCCCTTCAAGCCCCTTTCGAGCCACCATCTGACAGTGATATGCTTTGAAGTTAACTGGGTACCAACTCGGGACAATTGTGAATTTGTTAAACCTTGTTGTTATCTAGCCCTAACATGTACAGACAATATGCGTATGTGTGTATATATGTATATGTATATATAGGTAGTATACGCAGATATCCACACACATGTTGTATCTATCGATATGTATATGTCTGTACCTACACTACTACATGTGTGTGTGTGAGTGTGTGTGTGTGAGTGTGAGTGTGAGTGTGAGTGTGAGTGTGAGTGTGTGTGTGAGTGTGAGTGTGTCTGTGTCTGTGTCTGTGTCTGTGTCTGTGTCTGTGTCTGTGTCTGTGTCTGTGTCTGTGTCTGTGTCTGTGTCGTTTTTTTTCGTACATAGACATATACATGCACATACATACGTATGGATATTCCTATGTATATATATATATATATGCACATGTACGTATCACATTTGAAGCCTAAAAAGCCTCCATATGCTATGCATGTAAATCTCGGATATGAAACCTTCATATACCTCCATATGTCCTGCGAAAAGTTGTAAGGCCAAAGTGAATTCAACATTTGTAGTAGGGTTTGCATATGTCCTGCCCTGGACTGACAAGCATGTGTCTACCTACCTACCAACCAACCTAAGGAGGGTATCCTCAACACTTCCGTGACTCCGACAGCGGCAAGAAAAGAGCCGACCCAGTGGCCATAAGACTGAGGCTTTCGGGAGTTTTGGGGGGGCTTAGTCGCTGAGTTCATTGGCCTCCCACTAACAAAGTGTACACTTTTTTTCAAATCCATGGAGGGAATGGAGTATCCCCAAAAATGTAAAGTGTACTCATTCAGCTACTAAGGGGGTGTGGTAGCACTTGTCTTCACCAGCCGAAGGTTGCATATGGCATGAGCCGCCTGGTTAAACCCCTAACTCTATCAAGCTTTGTGTGGTTTTTTTGTGAGACAGACGCCTGCTGCATGCTCAGCACTCTCGATCTGTGTTGAAGTCGCTGCTAATATTGCGCACGCTGCTGCCCCCACCCTTTCCAAGGTGAAAGAACACTGCTCGCACCAAGCTGAATGTGGGACTAGGACCGAAGCGCACTGCTTGTACCACTGTACGGTCCCGCATGTGTCGCAGACGCCACCAGCCAGAAAGAATCCTGAAGATCCTACCTGACGCCCCGGCTTAGCGCTCAAGAAGCCCGTCCTTTCCTAGCAGCTTCCAATGCCATGCAACGGTCCCTGAAGAACTCGGAAGCACACTGCGCCGGCCTTGGGCGACCAGAGGCCAAAGCCCGGCGTCTTAACCGACTGGTTTTTTGGGAATGTGGGCTGTAGACGTGCTGCTCACCCCAGGAAGTTCATCGATGTGCACAGGCCGCAAAGGAGGCTTGCAGGAGCACGGTGGCTCTGCCCGAACCTTGTGATCTACAGCCGGCACTGGCCTGCGCAGCCGTGGAGCACCGCAGCCGAGGAGGGGTCGGGCTGATCCAAGGGTGCTGACCGCCAAGGTATAAGTATGAAAAATCAATGAAGTCCAAATACACAAACAAATATATATATATATATATATATACATATACATGTGTGTATATATATATATATACACTTAATACAGTAAGCAATAGTGTTGCTTCATCACGGCAGCAAGAATTAAGTGGCCATGATACGAAAAGTGTTTAGTACATAAGACAGCTTCACTAGCATGGCAGCTGGACTTTTTTGACTCCCTTTAAACAGAGCCACCCCCCAGGAAAGATGCTGCCAGCCCCGTGTGGCCCAGACTGGTGGGCCGCCTCTCGGCCATGCTTCAGGAGGACATGCTCCCTGCACGGGGTGCGGCCAACATCTTCTGGGCAAATGGTATCCAGAACGTTGTGGGAGGGCCATGAAAGTGAGGGACCCGAGACAGTGTGTCTCCGGAACAGTTCAGGCATACTTTCTGAGAAAGTGAGAGAGTGCGACGAGCTGCTGATGGAGTTGGCCGGCTATGTAGAAAGGCATGTTGGCACCATGAACCCGCAAGAGCTTTCCAGCTGCTTTGTGACCGGAGTCAAGGTCGGGAATGCATCTCCGGAAGTCCAACAGTTGTCAAAGAGTCTGTGAGCTGCAGTTCTTGAAATTGCTGTGCCGCAGGTGCTGACAGCTGTGCCAGCCATCGCAGAGCGCATGCCGCACAGGCAGAGAACATGAGTCCTCATCATTTGTCGAACAGCCTGTGGGCACTTGCGAATTTGCATGATGCCGCGCCACAAGCGCTGACAGCTGTGCCAGCCATCGAAGAGCACATACCGCGCAGGGTGAAAAGCATGAAGCCCCAAGAGTTGTCAAGCAGTCTGTGGGCAGCTGCGAATCTGCAAGATGCAGCACCGCAAGTGCTGGCAGCCGTGCCGGCCATCGCAGAGCACATGCCGCACAAGGTAGAAGACATGAACCTGCAGGAGTTGCTGAGCAGCTTGTGGGCACTTGGGAACCTTCAAGATGCTGCACCACATGGGCTGACAGCTGTGTCAGCCATCGCACATGGGATTTCTATCAAGGTTTATCAGGGGCCATTCCCGCCGTTGACGAAGATCCTGAGCACGCGGTCTGTGGTGCTATCAGCTGACAGGTTGCTGGGGTGCTCCTCGGCCATACTTGTCTGACGGCTGTCACAATCACCTTGCGCAGTACCTGAAGTCCGTCTTGGAAGCCTCTTCCTGATGGTTCCTGATGGAACGTCTCCACCTTCCTGCAGAAGTCTCGGGTTTGGCCATCATTGTGGGAAAAACTATAGCTCGTCAGAACACCCCCCCCCCCCCCAAGAGTGTACTGCGTGGGGTTCTTTGGTCTACTGTGGAATATTTACCTGAGCTATGCAAATGCCAGATACAACTCGCTGCAAGAGTTTTCAGGCCATTAGCCCGTTAACGACATGAAGGTTTCGACGAGCAGCCGGCTGATCGGAAGATTTGACCCAACAACAGCAGCAACAAGCGAGCTGCAGGAGACGATGCAGGACGACAGCAGCTGGCAGATTCTGCTTTCGCATCATGGAATTTTCGGAGCATGGGACACACCTCCGCATGCGCGACTGACTGTGCCGCATTCTTCTGGAAATCTTTTCTCGCAAATATCAGCTGACGGTTTCCCTAGCCCCAGGATTGCTTCTCCAGCTGTCAGTGTTGAGATGAGGTTGCATCAGATGCGTTTCAAGGTTTTCGGGAGAACCATGTGGTTGCTCTTGGCCTCACGAAGAATCCCAGAACCCCACGGTGCCCTCACCCCCCCACAACATGAAACCCTAGACCCTAGACCCTAGACCCTCGACCCTAGACCCTAGTAGACCCTAGACCCTAGACCCTAGACCCTAGACCCTAGACCCTAGACCCTCGACCCTAGACCCTAGTAGACCCTAGACCCTAGACCCTAGACCCTAGACCCTAGACCCTAGACCCTAGACCCTCGACCCTAGACCCTAGTCCTTAGAGTATTGAAAAAACCGCCTGCTTGCCTGTTCCTGAAATATACAGTGGGATCTCGTCACACAAAGGACTTCAATCATGATCATTCGGACAGGCAGGCTTTGTACTCTGGCTTTTTGGTGCTTTCCCAACCGGTGCCGGCCCAGTGCCTCGTGCAGCTGTATTCAAGTCACCGCTGCTGATGCACATGACATGATGCTACTACTACCAAGCTGAATGACCTGGACTGCAGGCCACAGGTTGTACTACCCCACCCCATGCTCGAAAGGCTTCCAGGTCCTCCCTGACACCTCCCTTCAGTTCCCTGAAGCTCCCTTCCACCCCAAGCCTGCTTTCTGAACAGCAACCCCGAAAACCGAAACCCCTTGGTGCAAGCCCTAAACCCTAAACCCTAAACCCTAAACCCTAAACCCTAAACCCTAAACCCTAAACCCTAAACCCGAAACCCGAAAACCCCAAACCCTAAACCCTAAACCCTCAACCCTAAACACCCCTTGGATCCCTGGTGTCATGGCTGCCCCTCTCCTGAGCCGATGCCTGCGCCATGCCACCAGGCACCATGGGGACCTGGGGAAGACTGTTAGGGCTTAGGGTTTAGGGTTTAGGGCTTAGGGTTAGGGCTTAGGGTTTAGGGTTTCGGGTTTCGGGTTTAGGGCCTAGGGTTTAGATGAACTTTGGCACGCAGGACAAGGCTTCGAGAAGCCCCCAAAGAGCCCATGCATCCTGCAAGAGCATGTTCTTGGGTGTAAAAGTCCCCTCCCCCTGGCCCCCTTATACTCGTAGAAAAAGGTTTCCCCCCACTATACTCTATAATGGCATCACCCTAAACCCGAAACCCTAAACCCTGAACCCTAAACCCTTAACCCTAATGGTCCCGAAGATGTGCTACAGTGCAGACGAGCTCAGTTGCTCAGACTCAGAGATAGCGCCGAGTAAACCCTTAACCCTAAACATCAGGAATGACCTGTGCGAAAACGGCAGGATGGCTTCCATGTCAGGGTAGCTGTAGGGCGAGTTGTTTTTGCTTCTTGCCCTTTGCTTGCTGCTTTGACTGTCTCCTACTGCCTTTCATCGCCTTTTGGCCTCTTGCTTTTCATCCTTCTCGCTTTTCATCCTTGTTGCTTTTGCGCTTCTTTTTGCTCGTCTCTTCTTGCCTTCCACCTCTTGCTTCTGCTTTTGGCTTTCCTTGCACTCCCTTGGTCTTGCCTTTGCTTTCCACATTGTGCTTGTCTCGTATCGTCGCGTATCGCCTTAAACTCTTGCTTTCCCGCTTCTTGCATTGCCTTTTTCCCCAAGCAGTCTACTGTTGGGGTTCTAAATTCATTTAATCAAGGATTGCCGACATTCTGAGGACTGTTGCCGGGTTCCTGGGCTCCTTGTCGCCCTTTGTCTCCCTTTGTCTCCCTTTGTCTCTCTTTGTCTCCCTTTGTCTCCCTTTATGTGGGTGGCTTTGCCGGGTTGCTGTGCTCCTCGCCTCCCTTTGTCTCCCTTTGTCTCCCGTCGTCTACACTGTTTCTTTTGACGTGCCTTTGACTGTTTGGGGTCTTGCGTGGTGTAGTGTTGCTTTCCCTGTTGTCTCTTGCGCGTTTTTCCTTTGCCCCAAATTCATGCTGGACCTTTACGAATGGAATAGCTGGAAAGAATGAACGAAAAGAAGACGTGCGGCACTGAACAGAAGCCCGGAAAGAACGACAGTAAGAACTAAGCAACAAGGAACGAGCGCTACAGAATGAAAGAGTGACGGAATGAACGAAAGAAATACAGACACATGAAAGGAATCAGTGGGGTGGGCAAACCATGAGACACTCGACGGGATTCTCCGCGGGCTTCTCTGGGTGTGGGCACACCAGGGATACTAACCCTAAACCCTAAACCCTAAACCCTAAATCCTAAACCCTAAGCCCTAAACCCTGAACCGCGGGCTTTGTGCTCAGCGGGACCCTCTGCGGGCTTCTCTGGGCACTTGCCAGGAGCATGGTGAACTTTGCTTCTCATGTTTTTTTGAATCCTCAGACCTTTTTAGGACATGTTTCCGTGCTTCTCCCTAAACCCTAAACCCTAAACCCTAAACCCTAAACCCTAAACCCTAAACCCTAAACCCTAAACCCTAAACCCTAAACCCTAAACCCTAAACCCTCCTTTGGTGCCACTTCCTCTTGAAAGCAGGCCTTGCGCCGGGCACCTCCTTGGCAGAGCTCAGGCGAGAAGTTTGGGTGTGATGAATAGGGTTTAGGGTTTAGGGTTTAGGGTTTGGGGTTGAGGGTTTAGGGTTTAGGGTTGAGGGTTTAGGGTTTGGGGTTTAGGGTTCAGGGTTGGGATGTTCCCCCTAAAACGAACAGTCCTGCATGAGTGGTTGTCAAATTATTGTCCCTTTTTGGACCCCTATTATAATACGGCACCTAGTATTTGGGGTACGCCAAAAGGGATCATGATTTTGACAACCACCCACGTAGGGATGATAGTACCTCCGATTATACTCCCTATTCAGGACTGTTAGCAATTAGTATAAGGGGGAACATCCCAAGTGATGAAGGTTGAGGGTTTAGGGCCCTCGTTCGGTGGTTAAGAAATGGTTAGTGGTGATGATAGTGGTGACGAAGGCTGGGGGGTTCAGGGCTCACGCCTGCTGAAAACGACGTGCAAAAAAGCATGTTGAAAAAGGTCTGACTAAGGTTGAGTGGGCTGCGGCTTTGATTTGGGTCGGGGGAGACGACCTGAAGTGCTTCCTGGCTCAAAACCCAACTTTTCAACTTTTTGGCTTCTTATAAGGTAGTTTATTCTGAAAGTTTCAACTTTTATTTCCTTGGGTTTTGGGCCAGTAAGAGTGTAGAGGAAGCAGTTTAGGGCACAGAATTGTTCCACAGCCCCCGACCCCGAACCCTAAACCCCGTAGGGTTCGGAATTGGGATTCGGGGGTTTAAAGAGGGACCCCTAGAAGGGACCTTAATCTTAATCCCCGACATATTTAATATGGCCCCGACATACCTAAGTAGCCCCTAAAAAACCTCTGAGGTCCCTACTTGAGTCCCTCGAGGGGTTCGAAAGGGGGTGGAAGGGGCCCATATTCCCTCATCGGGGCTTGCTAAGGCTCATTTGGGATTACTAGACCCTTTCACTGTCCACCCCCCTTCCTTTCACCCCTTTGTTCCTTATGAACTGTCCAGGGTTTGAGGTTGTTTTCTGGCTCAGAGCTTAAGAGCACGATAAATTCACTAGGTAGGCCCTTGGGACATTTTGTATTTTCCCTTATTTGGGTTTAAGAGCATCATATTCAGGAATATTTTTCAGAGGGTTTTAGGGGCCATCCTAGTTCAAGGTTTGAAAGCTGAAAAACCAACCCTAAACCCTAAACCCTAAACCCTAAACCCTCAACCCTCAACCCTCAACCCTAAACCCTAGCTGCCCTTGGCGAGGTTCCCATCCGACGCTTTGCCGTTCCGCCCTTGGAAGGGGTGTGGCATGGACTTGGGGGCCTGCGGGCGCAGCTTAAGGGCTCGGTTTAGGGTTTAGGGTTTAGGGTTTAGGGTTGAGGGTTGAGGGTTGAGGGTTTAGGGTTTAGGGGACCCCTACATTCTTGGTTCTCTGCTTGGCCCGCTCATAGGAAGTGTCCATCGGAGTTCCCTAAACCACAGTACCCCGTCTTTTAATCCCTACTGTATCAAGGACTGCTAGCAGGACGCGGAGCTTCCCAACCTCAACCCCGAAACCCTATGTAAACGCTAAACCCTGCGATTTTTGTTGTAACCCAAAACCCTAAACCCTAAACCCTAAACCCTAAACCCTAAACCCTAAACCCTAAACCATCTAAAACATCAGCCCCGAGGATGCCAGTGACTTCTTCTTTCCCTTGGGGGCAGGAAACGGGGTTTCGATTCGTTCGGTTCGGCTGCTCCGTTTCGGTTTTTTTCTCGCCCTAAAACCGGAGTGTTTTTTGTTGTGCGTGGCGGTTCGGAGGGGCGTGTTGCACTGATCCCCCTATACCCCATACCCTATGCTGCCAAAGTCGCCGAGCATTCATGGTGACAAGTATTCGCACTTCTGCTCACCGACGTTTGCCTAGAATGATTTGGGGGCTTCCGGCTGCTTTGTCGTTTTCGTTTAAGCTACAGAAGACTATCGCACCACGCCATCTTGACTCCAGAGCCGCGTTCCCTTGCCCGGGTTCCAGGCTGGAACGCCCCAACCCGAAACCAGTGCCTGTCGCTGAGGCCCTCTGAGGCCTCGAAGTGGGTTGGGTTTAGGGTTTAGGGTTTAGGGTTTAGGGTTTAGGGTTTAGGGTTTAGGGTTTAGGGTTTAGGGTTTAGGGTTTAGGGTTTAGGTCATCCTGCCCTGGAAGTTCACGGAAGCATTCTCATGCGCTGTCATGCGAGCACGTTGCCGAGGCAGAGACGTTGAGTCCGCAGATGGTCGACGTTGGCAAGAAGGCGGCCTTCAGAAATGCGCCCAAGACCTTGCACTTGCACTTCGCGGCTCTTTGCGGGCCTTTGACGAAGAATCAAAAGCGCGTAAGCCCAACATCTTCAAAGTTGAGTATGCACGAAGTCCCTCCCTCCCTCCCTCCCTCTCACCCTAAACCCTAAACCCTAATCCCTAAACCCTAAACCCTAAATCTCTCTTCCGCCAGGCGCCGACTCGCCGGGTGGTCTGAAGCTGAGCGTAACAAGGCTGCCGCAGAGTATCATGTAATCAACTCACTAAGAGTATGTACCAGATAGAATAACATAAGATTGAACAGACAGTATGTAATTCATAACACATTACTGGCACCTTGGCGCAGTGTCCCCGGATGTCTTCGCAAGGAAGGCTCATGATCGATGGAGTAGCCTCATGCAAACTTGAAGGCTTTCCAACAAGTTGGGGGTGTCCTTTTTGAGGGGCTCCTTATCGCGGCACATCTAGGGCACGCTGGAAATGTGGGTGTGGTGCGATGCTGCCTTTTGATGTTTGAAGTATGTCTTCACACACGATTTTACCAAAGCCAGGCACTTGAGCAATAGAACGACCACATGGAACGGCAACAGCATACAGCTACTTAGAGCTTCAACCTTTGTGGAGAGTCAGCGGTTTTCCGCGCTTTTGCCATGCAACGACCAGAGGCCAAAGCCCGGCGGCATAACCGACTGGTCATTTTGGGAATGTGGGCTGTAGCCTTGCTGCTCACCTCGAGAAGCTCATCGATGTGCGTAGGCCGCATAGGAGGGCAGGAGCATGGCAGCTCTGGCCGAACCTTGCGATCCAGCACTGGCCCGCGCAGGCGCGGAGCACCAAAGCCGATGAGGGGTCGGGCTGATCCAAGGGTGCTGACCGCCAAGATCTCGAGGGCGGAATCTGCCGCAGCTCTCCTTGATCTTGTGGACAAGGAGGTGGACGACAGCTTGAATGAGTTCCACTTGTCAGCAGCATTTAGCCGGCTGGCCAAGTTCAGCCAAAGGCGGCAGCTAAGCCCGAAACTGGGTTGCTGTTAAACGGAAGGAGATTCGATTGGCTTCCCACAAACATGCTTAAACTGGCTTACCATAAAAATGGGCATACAAGTATAAGCATAATAATTAAGTGGGCAGAATACGAAATCTGTTTAGTACAGAAGACAGCTTCACTATCATGGCGGCTGGACTTTTTCAAAGCAGAGCCACCCCCCCAGGAAAGATGCTGCCAGCCCTGTTTGGCCCAGACTGGTGGGCCGCCTCTCGGCCATGCTTCAGGAGGACATGCTCCCTGCACGGGGTGCGGCCAACATCTTCTGGGCGAATGGTCTCCAGAAATTTCTTGAACACGACATTTTTGTTTAGTCTAAAGTTGGTTCTACTGTAGGAAGGCGATGAAGGTGACAGGCCTTTGCAAGTGGCTCTCCCGAACAGTTAAGGTATACTTTCTGAGAAAGTGAGAGAGTGCGACGAGGAGCTGCTGATGGAGTTGGCCGGCTATGTAGAAAGTCGTGCGGACACCATGAACCCGCAAGAGCTGTCCAACTGCTTTGTGACTGGAGTGAAGGTCGGGAATGCATCTCCGGAAGTGCATTCTGCAATGAAAGCCATTGCAGAGTGCCTGAGGCACAAGGTGCAAGGGATGGAGCCCCAAGAGTTGTCAAACAGTCTGTGGGCAGCTGCAAAACTTCAGCATTCGGTGCCGCAGGTGCTGACAGCTGTGCCAGCCATCGCAGGGCGCCTCCCGTGCAAGGTAGAAGACATGATTCCTCAACATTTATCAAACAGCCTCTGGGCCGCTGCAAAGTTGCAAGATGCCGTGCCGCAAGTGCTGACAGCCGTGGCAGCCATCGCAGGGCGCATACCACACAAGGTAGAAGGCATGAACCCCCAGGAGTTGTCAAACAGCTTATGGGCGGCTGCGAATCTTCAAGATGCTGCATCACAAGTGCTGGCAGCCGTGCCAGCCATCGCAGAGCACATGCCGCGCAAGGTAGAAAGTATGAGTCCGCAGCATTTGTCGAACAGCCTGTGGGCACTTGCGAATTTGCACGATGCCGCACCGCAAGTGCTGACAGCCGTGTCAGCCATCGCAGAGGGCATACCGCGCAAGGTAAAAAGCATGAAGCCCCAAGAATTGTCAAACAGTCTGTGGGCAGCTGCGAATCTTCAAGATGCAGCACCACAAGTGCTGGCAGCCGTGCCAGCCATCGCAGAGCACATGCCGCGCAAGGTAGAAAGTATGAGTCCTCAGCATTTGTCGAACAGCTTGTGGGCACTTGCGAATTTGCACGATGCCGCACCACAAGTGCTGACGGCTGTGCCAGCCATTGCACATGGCATGACTAAGAAGGTAAAAGGCATGATCCCTCAACAATTGTCGAACAGCCTGTGGGCAGCCGCGAAGTTGCAAAATGCCGCACCACAAGTGCTGACAGCAGTGCCAGCCATTGCAGAGCACGTGCCGCACAAGGCGAGGGACTTCAATCCCCAGGATTTGTCCAACAGTTTGTGGGCAGCTGCGAAGTTGCAAGATGCTGCGCCACAAGTTCTGAGAGCCGTGCCAGCCATTGCAGAGTGTGTGGCGGAGCAGGCGAGGCACCTCAGTTCTCAGCATCTGTCAAACTGTTTGTGGGCAGCTGCGAATCTACAAGATACTGCACCGCAGGTACTGACAGCTGTGCCAGCCATCGCAGAGCATGTGCCTCACAAGGTGACGGAATTCGCCCCCCAAGGATTGGCGAACAGCCTGTGGGCAGTTGCGAACCTTCAAGATACTGCGCCGCAAGTGCTGACAGCCGTGCCAGCCATCGCAGAGCGCATGCCGCGCAAGGTAAAAAGCATGAAGCCCCAAGAGTTGTCAAACAGTCTGTGGGCAGCTGCGACTCTGAAAGATGCCGCACCTCATGTGCTGACCGCTGTGGCAGCCATCGCAGAGCATGTGCCACACAAGGTGAGGGACTTCGATCCGCAAGGGTTGTCGAACAGCCTGTGGGCAGCTGCAAAGTTACAAGATTCCGCGCCGCAAGTGCTGACAGCTTTGCCAGCCATCGCAGAGCTTGTGCGGAATTTGATCCGCAAGGATTGTCGAACAGGCTTTGGGCAGCTGCGAATTTGTCAGATCCCGAAACACATGGGTGCTGACAGCTGACCGCAGTCCGAGAACATTTGTCGAACAACGGGTGGGCAGCCACGAATCTGCAAGATGCCGCCGTGCAAGGGCTGACAGCTGTGCCAGCCGTCGCAGAGCGCATTTCGAGGTGGGAGACGAGATTGCTTCGTGTGGGCAGCTTTGACATTTGAAGGAACCAGCGAGAAGAAGAGGTCCTCACAGTGCCAGGAGACTCCTTGAGTGCCCTTCCTGCGATATCGGGACGCCGGTGCAGGTGTGTGTTTGGATGTGCAGTTGGCTTCAAAGGCAGGGCCCAGACTCCTGGAGTCTCCTGGAGTGCCGTTTCTCACAGTCGTGGCAGCTGTCCCATGTGCCTTTGGGCTTCAAAGCTTTTGGAGAAGTGTACCAAGTTTAGGGTTTAGGGTTTAGGGTTTAGGGTTTAGGGTTTAGGGTTTGGGGGCGACCTGGTGTCCCTGCGCTGCCTGCGCTTAGCATGCCTTCTTGCGCCGCGAGTACCTTCGATGCAGCGAACTCTGGTAGCCCCGCTGCCATCCCGCTGGTGCCGGATCACCATCCTTCCTCCTAGGCCTTGACCCTGAACCCTAAACTCTAAACCCTAGACCCTAGACCCTAAACCCGAAACCCTAACCCTAAAAACTAACCCTAAACCCTACATGCCCTAAACCCTATATATAATTCAGGGTTTAGGATCAGCCCCCGTGGACGCCAACGAAGCCCGCACGCCGCTCGAAAGCCTCCGTGCCGTGCGCAGGAGTGACATCCCTAAGACTCTACACCCTAAACCCTAAACCCTAAACCCTATACCCTAAACCCTAAACCCTAAACCCTAAACCGTAAACCCTAAACCCTAAACCCTAAACCCTATAAACCCTAAACCCTGAAGCCCTGTTCTGGAGGCTCCCCTGGGTTTAGGGTTTTGGGTTTAGGGTTTAGGGTTTGGGGTTCCGCATCTCCAGTCCGAGCATTCACTAGTCGAGCTCGTGACTCTGGTATCGAAAACCTACCCACCCAACCTTTGGATCTCATAGGAATCATAGTTTTATTTGTCAAAAGAACGGAGTTGTCGACCCCACAGCATAGGAACATGTCATTGTTTCATTTTTTCAAGAGAACGGAGTTGTCGACCTTAATTTGTCTCAGGACAAATCATTTCTAAAACAGAACCGACGAACATTCGCCTGAGGGGCGGGGAGGGGGGGAGGGTGGCCCTTCAGACCCTAAACCCTTGAAAGCCTTGAGACCCTAAAAGCCTTGAGAGCCTAAATCCTTGAGACCCTGAGCTGTTGAGACTCTAACTCCTTTGAGACCCTAAACGACGAGACCTTGAGACCCTGAACACTCGAGACAGGCCACGAACCAGGCAAAAATCCCAGAAAAATGCCCACGAACCAGGCAAATGCCCACGAAACAGGCAAATTGAGGGGGTGGGGCAGGGCAGGGCGGGGGGGCGACAGGGGGGGAGTGGGGGAGGGGGGGGAGGAAGGGGGAGAGGGGTGAGAGGGGTGAGAGGGGGAGGGGGGGGAAGGGGGGGAGGGCGGCAAATGCCCACGAAGCAGTCACGAATCGGCAAATGCCCACGAACAGGCAAAGATGAGGCAAATTTGCCTGAAGTATGCCGCCACTGGGTTCATCAAGGTTTTTTTTTTCATAGGGAAGGTTTAGGGCAAAAGAAGCAAATCCCAATGCTCTTGGTTCAGCTCAAGCCTCAAAGCCCCCAAACAAGCCTCCCAAAGCCCCCCAAAGCCTTCCAAAGCCCCCAAAAACCCTAAACCCGTAAACCCCTCGAGCCCAAAACCCACACCAAAGGCTCACCCAAGCCTAAACCCTAAACCCTAAACCCTAAACCCTAAACCCTAAACCCTAAACCCTAAACCCGAAATACACCCTAAACCTAAACCCTACAAAAACCCTTGGCTGCCCCCAAGGCCAAGGCCGGATGCACCGTGTTGGTGGGGAAGGAGGCGCGAAGCCGAGTTTTGCGGAGGGTTAGGGTTTAGGGTTTACGGTTTAGGGTTTAGGGTTTAGGGTTTGGGGTTGAGGGTTTAGGGTTTAGGGTTTTAGAGTTTGTTGGGGGTTTGGGGCTCAAAGGGTTTGTGGGTTATGACGTAAGGAGTGAAGATTTTGTTGGGGATTTAGGGTCTAGGGCTTGAAGGGTTTTTGGGTTATTACGGTTTGGAGTTCAAGGGTTAGAGCTTCAGGGTTTACGGCTAGGTGTTTGGGATCTAGAAAAACAAGGGTTTAGGGGCTCAGCGCTTTTCCGGCGAACACCCTTCTAGCAGTCGCAGTCCCCCTATTTGAGTTAAGCCAAGTCCTCATAGGGATAGTCAGCCCGAGCGTTTCGGCTCTCTAAATGATCAGAGAGCCCTAATCCCGTCGAATCGGGTTTGTGGTCAGGGTTGCCCGTGTTTTCCACGGGTTGCAAACCCTAAGGCTTAAACCCTCAACCCTAAACCCCAAACCCTAAACCCCTCTTGGTTTTGCGCCCATTCTCTTGTACTCTGGATCCAGATCGCAGCTGCTTTGGCGACGAAGTCTGTGGCCAAAGGTGACGCGCTGCGACTGCAAGAGACTGCTGGCTTCAGGTTGCACCCTAAACTCTATAAGCCCTATGAACCCTAGAAACCATGTAAACCCCACAAACCTGATCAAACCCTGTAAACCCGATCAACCCTACAAACCCTACAAACCCTACACACCCCATTAACCTGATCACACACTATAGAGCCTGTAAACCCTATAACCCTGATAACCCTGATTAAACCCTATAATCCCTAAACCCTAGAAACCCTAAGCCCTAAACCCGAAACCCTAATCCATTTCAACCCTAAAAACCTTATTACACCCTCTGAACCCTATGCCCTAAACCCGAAACCCTAATCCCTTTCAACCCTAAAACTTTATTACGCCTGGAAACCCAAAACCCTAAACCCGAAACCCCAGTCCCTTTCAACCCCAAAGATTCTTATTAACTCTCAACCCTCTAAACCCTAAGCCCTACTTGGAGGGTCATGGTACTTGTCAACCAATTACCTCTGTACTTATCACCCACCTATAAGCCCCTTAAGTGCCCCAGTATGGTTGTAAGTAGAGGTATAAGTGCAGTTATAATTGGTTAATTTTAACGCTACGCGACCCGCCTCGGCCCGGCCCAGCGCATCCGCGTGAGCATGGTGATTCTGCAGCGCCCAAGTCGCTGCACCCCAAGCAATGAGGGTTGGGTTTAGGGTTTAGGGTGGGTTGAGGGTTAGTTTAGCCCGAGGCCTCGGCGGATAAGTATCATGAACCTCCAGAAACCTTAAACCCTAAACCCTCTCAACCCTAGACCCTACAGGGTAAGTCGCAAGTTTAAGGCTCCAGGCATGAGAGGAGCCAAAGTCCAGCTCCCACAAAAAGGGCCCCAAGCCACCAGGGCTTGGATTCTTCACAAACGGAAGTTAGGGTTTAGGGTTTAGGGTTTAGGGTTTAGGGTTTGGGGTTTGGGGTTCAAGCTCCCCAAAAGAAACCACACTTTAGGAACGGCCCTCAAGTGGAGCTTGGGACTGGGAGGATGCAGGCGCCCGCACTGCAGTGCGCCCTAGCCACCCTTAGTAAGAGCTTTGGGTTTCTAGGGTTTAGGGCTCAGGTTTAGGGTTTAGGGTTTAGGGTTTAGGGTTTAGGGTTTAGGGTTTAGGGCTTAGGGTTTAGGGTTTAGGGTTTAGGGTTTAGGGTTTAGGGTTTAGGGTTGAATCTGGCTAGTCCTCAAGCCCAGCTGCAAAAGGTTTAGGGTTTAGGGTGTAGGGTTTAGGTTGGGGAGACCTGCTGCAAAGAAAGGGTTTCCAGGGTTTCGGGTTTCCTAACCCTAGGGTTTTGCTGTCTAAGGGTAGTTAGGCCCCTTCATATGGTCCTTAGCTCGTCTAAAGGGCTCTGAAGTACGGGCCCCTGGGTTCTATGCGGAATGTGAAGGGTATATACGGGGTGCCATGAGTGGGCCTTTACTAAGAAGCCATGTAATTACCCTAAGACGGCTTTGGGTGCAGAAAGGAGACCTGTAACCCTAGACCATGGTAACCCAGTGGTACCCTTTACCCTTTTTTGGGTTCTGGTTTCCCTTTGAAAATAACCAACCCCAAAAAGGGTGCCCTTATTATAATATGGTTACTGGGCTACCAAGAATGGGTTCTCTCCCCCCTCCTCCCCCCCAGCCCTCGAAACGCGAAACGTGCACACGATGACGCACGACTACTTTGGGTCCTGATTGTTGGGGTTGGGGTACTCCTAAACCCTAAATGCCTAAACCCTACACCTAAACGCTACGATTCGGTCCCGCGCACAAACATCGCTTACCATTCCAACCAGGCAAGATCGCTTTCATGGTCCTGAAGGGACGTGGGTCGGAAGAGAGGGAAGCTTAAGAGGTCTACTCCTTGAGCCCCATCCCCCTCGCCGCGTCCCAGTCTTGTAAATCGCCCATATCATAAACCCGAAAACCCCTACGCCTTCAAGCAGGAGTCGAAGCAACGACCTCCACTTGCAAGTTCTTTTGACTTAGCAAGTCTACTTAGTATCTCCTAGAAACATAACCCACCTCACTAGCCCTACTTGCTAAGTCAAAAGGGCGTCCAAGCAGACCTTAAGCTCCATGAGCCCTCAAGCCAAAAGGGACGTCAGCCGACCTAGGCTCTACTCAAAATGAGAACCTACTCATCAAGGGTAGCTGCTAGCAAGCTGTAGGTAAATAGAGTCCCAGGTAAACTTCGAAAACCCTAACCCCTAAGCCCTAAACCCTAAACCCTGAACCCTGGTTTAGGGCTTCTCGGGCTTGCGGCCAAGGTTTTTACCGTCAGCGAGGTCGCCGGGATCATGGCGGCAAAGAGGACGCCGGATCTGCTGCCGCTGCCCGGAAGCCCAGCCACGCCCCGCTCTCCACCGTTCGGTTTGGGGTTTTGGGTTTTGGGTTTAGGGTTTAGGGTTTAGGCTTTAGGCCTTAGGAAGTTTAGGGTTTATTTGAAGGGTTGCTACCGCTCTGGCTGCAGTTCTGC